GTCTTAGCAATAGATAATGTTGATACATATTAGGATTTATCAATAGATGGTAGCTCAGTATAGGTTTAATTTACATTTTTTACTATAAGTGACCTTGAGCATTTTTTCCCATATATTTAAAGGTATTTGACTTCATATTTCAGTGATCTGTTGATGTCTCCTTCTGTTTTAGGGATTTTGAAACTCTTAAAATAAGCTAAGTGCCTGACTTTGGGTAGATCAAGGCAAGGTACCCTGTCATTCATTGCTAGCAGGAACATCTTTGAGTCCTTAGATCCTGTCACATATTACGCCTCTTTAAAAGTCAGCTGATACCTGTAGTTGCTTTCCAGTCCTTTATTCTTTCAAGAGGCAGGGTGGGAGGTGGATGGGAAATTGCAGAGAGTGAGAAATGGGATTGTGTGTGTGTTTGTGGGGGTGTGTGTGTATATATATATATAAACAAGAAATGGAAAATTATTTGTTGATGATAACATATATGATTAAGCCACTTTACAGTATATTCTGGGTGGAAAATCACATTTGGTATGTTGTGGTGATATTCAGTGAAAATATGTAAAATAAATTAATTAATAAAGAATACAAAAAAAAAAAGCCAGCTTAAAGGGTACTTAGAAATTAGTGGATCCAGTCCCCTTATATTACAGATGAACAAACTAAGAGAATGAGACCAAGAGAATTGGAAGGACTCTTTTAGGTCATACAGTATATAAGTGAACTTGATGGCAACTCTCTACTCCAGGGGAACTCTAAATTAACATGTAAATGACTTCTTTGATGGTCAAACTACTTTTTAGAGAGAAAATGCCTCTAAATGCCTATAATAGCCCAATATTGACAATATAAAAGTTACCCTCGTATTAATTCTATCATCAGTGTCTATAATATGTATTTGGTACAGAGGTCCAAACAAAAATCTTAGAAAGCCAAAGCTGGATTGGTGACATTTCATATCATAGGGAAACTTGAGGTCCAGGAAGGTAGAGTGATTTATCACAGGGGGAGGCTAAAAGGGCCATTAGGCTGGACCTCTTCACTTTCAAAAGGCCTCAATTTTAAGTGTTTGAAATCCTTTCCAAATGAGGTTAAAATATATCATTACTGCATGTTCTGAGTGTGTATATAGTTTATTTGCTTAATATATACACTTAAAGTGTGTTACAATTTTTTGAAGCCTATACTTACATTTTTTTACTGTTTAACAAACCAGGAGTGGCCTTGAGGAGATACCTGGCCATAGTCACCAAGTGAGCTAGTTGCAGAAGTGACAGTAAAACTTAGGTTTGCTGACTTGTGAACAGAGAGCTTCCTGCTTTTTGCTTTTTATTTGAGCCAAGTAAATTCATCTTTATTCATAGCATTGAATCTTCTGTCCAGGAAGTTTCACTGTGGGACATATGTTCCCCTTTCATCTATTTATCTCTCATCTGGTCACCAAGTCTGTTCTCTGGAATGCTGCTGTTTGTTACTGCCTGCCACTCAGGGAAAGATGTTGACCAGAATCTTAACAAAAACTTCATTTCTTGAAAGCCTTCTATGTGCAATGATGGACTTTTATCTGTGTTCATTCTATTCAACATAACAGTTCTGGAAGGTAGATATTATTTTCATTATACAGATTACCAGAGACACAGTAGATTTACTTAGTATTATAAAGCTAAATAAACTGTAGATCTGGAATTCAAAACCAGGTTCATCAGACAGTGAAAGCTGCGCTCAGCTCACTCTACCTTGCCGTTACCATTCAACTGAGACAACCCACATGCATGATGACTCTGAGATGATACAAACAAAGGTCAAGGTAAAAATTGCCTGCTTTACAACCTGCCCAGGAAGCAGCAAGGGGCTGGGACTTGATGAGCAGAGAGGCAGTTTATCTGCAGTCCTACTGTGTGGGCCAGTCCTCCAATAGAAACTTTTTGTGAAAACCCAGCAGTTACTTACTTAACCAAATGTCTTATCAGAAGTTCCAGCATCTCTCGGTTTTTTTCTGGTAGCTTATATACCAGGGAGTGAATAGCTCCCAGCCGATAATCCAGGTTGTCAGACTCTGAGAAAGAAAAGTGAGAGACAGGATTTGGCTTTCTGGAAAATTGTATTGAGCAAACTTTAATACACACACAGACACATACACACACATGTACGGATGCAGAAAAAGATAACTAGAGACACATAATAAAACAGATTAAAAGAGAGATAAATAGGCACAGAGACACAATGAGAGACCAAAAAAGAACGAAATAGAAAGAGAACAAAAGACAGTGACAAAAAGAAACAAAAAAATAGTCCAGATGAATAAAGGAAATTAAAAACAGGAGAGAAGAGAAAGATAAACAGAGAAAACAAGAGAACACTGCCTCAGAGGAAGTCAGAATTCCTGGTACAGAGGTTGTTTCAATGCCCTACATGTAAACTTCCAGCTGGAAACCTTTTTCTACACACCCTCCTTGGGGTACTGAAATGTATGCTGCTCCTTTGGGTTCCTATGAAAACCACTGAGAGGGACCAGCAGTTAGCGTAACGGCTATGTCGCTGGACTCCCATGTAGCGACCTCGGTGTGAGTCCCAGACCCAGTGGCTTAAACTCACACCGGGTGCGTGTGCACTCCTGCCCAAGATCCCGAGGGGAGAATGGAGGAGAAAGGATTGCGGCATGGCCATCCCCCCGGGGGGTGATTTCTCGCTTTCTGTCTCTCTGTCTTTCTGGTGAGTGCACGCACTCTATAGTGAAAACCCCTCCAAAAAAAAGAAGAAAAAAATTAAAAAAAAAAAAAAACACTGAGAGAACACAGGAGTAAAGATGATCAAAACTCCCTTGTCTTGCTAATCTATTCAGTACTTTTTGAAGGGTCAGCAAAACAAACAAACAAACAAACAAAAACTCCCTTGTCTCAACAAAAACCCATTAAGAGTTCAAGTATCTGGAATCTTTTTCATGTATACCACATATGATGCAGAATAAGGGTTCATGTCAAGGCAGGGAGCAACATGCATACAGTTCCCTCAGCCAAGTCATTTTTAAACAGTCTTTCTGAAGTTTATTCATCTATCTCCTCTGAGAGAGAGAGAGAAAGAGAATGACTACTTCCAACAGGGTCCTGATGTCATGATCCATCCCTAGCCCCAGCTAGCCCTGGATCATGACCCACAGGTGCCCATCACACCCAGGAAAGTCTCTGGACATGAACTCAGAACCCTCCCATATGGATCAGACCCACAGAGTGCTACATTCTATGGCTGCACCACCCAAAACTTTTAATGCTTCTTCAGGAGACAACTTTTGGGTTGATTCTATACACTTATTTCCCAAGCACCCCTCCATCAACAGCCTTAGTTTCTCATCTAGAAAAAGTGATGCTAGTACTAACATATTAGAACCTATGTTTCACAATACAATTGAAAATCATTTGAAAAGGCAAAGTGCTAAAGGAAGCTGAAACAGCATTTGTAATGCAACCATTTTGCTGTTAATGTAATGCCAGTCAATGTTCCTGTTCTGATGGAAAGGGCAATAAATAAATAAAGCTTTTACATATATCACATCTCTAGAGCTAGCCAGTTATTTCTAACCTACTCAGCTGACATTGATTTACAAAATTAAAAATATAACTCTTGAGTTAGACAACAAGCAAGAATAATCTCATTTGACAATGGCAAACCGTGTTTTTGGTTTCTTGCCCTTAATCACCTTCCTCAACTAGTTTTTAAACCTTATTACTGTAAACCTTACTGAGAAACCAAGACAACACAAATAGCTAATAACATAAATACTTACTGGCAGCAGAGACCAGCTCTTTGTAAAGCTTATAGGTCATGACAGGTTCAGAAAGATTCCTGAAATTAATGAAGACTATAAGTTCCTTTGAGAAGGGAGTAGCCAGGCCTAGGATCCTCTGTTCTGTGAACAGTGAGACTGAAATTTCTGAGCCACACACAGTTTAGTGTAACTATGTACACTTTTCTATTCATGAAGCTTTGTCCGGGCAATATAAGTTGCTAGTAATTCAACAGAAAATTTGCAAAAGTATGGGCTGAAGCCTCTAGCAAGGTCTCCAATTAGCTCCCCAAACTGAAGGAGGTACAAACCAGTCCTACAAAATTCCAAACTGCACCCATTTTGAATGCTACCATGAATCTATGGATCTGTTACAATTTGATATGCCCTTAGAATTTCCAAAGTACTGTTGGATCTATCCTTCCATTTCATCCTGTGAGGTCAAACTGTTATTCAAAACCCCATTTAAGGGAGGAAGAAATGACACTCAAATATACTTCTTTCTTTAGTCAAAAAATGGACTGGGTCACTGGCATCGTGATGATTACTGAGGATCCAGATAAAACTAAGATATAGTCCAAACCTCCAAGGAGTAAATAGTCTATTTAGGAGAGTGCCAGACACAAAATTTGCAATGTAGTGAGACAAGTGTAATGATAAAATGAAGATATGTGGTGAGTGACTCAAAGGAAGGAAGTAATCAATTAATAATAAAATAGCAAACTCTGTCCTTACCTAAGTGATTTACTTGTATTAATTCATCTAAAACTTATGATATCCCAGAGACATAGATACTACTATCCCCATTTTATAGACGAGGAAACTGAGGTGAGAGAAGTTATAACACTCAATATTGAATGAGTTCCATGAAGTAATAAGTGGAAGAACCAGGCAGTCTGTTCCCAGAGTCTGTCTATTTATATACATATATATATTTTTTTTCTACACTATATTCTAAAAGCTGAAGTTTTACTCTTTCATCTAGGTTTCACATGGTTTTTTTAGTTCTATTTTCTTTTTCTTGTTTTATTTTATAATTTTTTATTTACATTTAATTTTTGGACATCTTTGTGAGGCACAATGTGATTTCTCAAGACATGCATGCGGGACCAGCAGTTAGCATAATGGCTATGTCGCTGGACTCCCACATAGTTGACCATGGTTCATGTCCCCAACCCAGTGGCTGAAAACTCACACCGGGCGCGTGTGCGTGCATGCCCAGGATCCTGAGAGGAGAATGGAGGAGAAGGGATTGTGGCATGGCCATTCCCCCTGGGGGGTGATTTCTCGCTTTCTATGTCTCTGTCTCTCTCTGTCTGGCGAGCGCATGCACCCTATAGCAAAAAAAAAAAAAAGACATGCATACAATTTGGCTAAAATCAAATCAAGGATATTACCATATTCATCATCTTCAACAAAGAATATTACAAGGTGTTGTGCACATACTACTTTGTTCTACCAGTTGTTTTTGTTTTTTGAGATATGTGTATATATGTACATATGTATGTGTATATGTATACATGCATGATGGACAATACCCTCTTTTTTGTACTCTGTTGTGTTATATCATTCCATAATCCATTTGCCTTGTTTACATGCATTCTTGTGTCTGTTAAACATTTTTTTCCTGATTCCTCATCCCTTGAGCTATATGTGGTACCTACAATTGCCCTCCATACTTTTATGTCTTCAAATCTTTCTATTTCTGCCATAGAGTGCTGACATTTTGTATATATTAAACAGGGATATACCATATTCATCTTTCAGAGTCTGGTTTATTGCATTAAGCAGTAAATCTTCCAGATTCTTCCACTTTGTATCAAATGACAAGATCTCATTGTTCTTTATGGCTGAGTAGTATTCTATTGTGCCGCACTTTCTTAATTCAGTCATCAGTTAATGAACACGTACATTGATTCCACATCTTAGCTATTGTGAATAATGTTGTGACTAGCATGGATGTGCAAATGTCTCTCCAAAAGAGTGTTTTCCTATCCTTTGGGTAAATACCCAGGAATAGGATTACTGGGTCATATGGTAGTACTATTTGTAAATTTTTGAGGTATCTTCATATTGTAGAAACTATATTCTTAATCACTATGCTATATACTGCCTACCATTATTATGATAACCCAGGTAAGAAATATGAAAAACTTAAACAGAAATGGAAACAGAGGCAATGGAGATAGAAAGGAAAGATGAGGAGAGTTCTTTCAAATATATTATAGAAATAATTCCTTCACTGAGTAGATATGATGATGAGGGAAAAAGTAATCTAATTTGGGTGACTGGACAGAATAGGAATTGATTAAGAGGGAAGTAGAAATGCCAAAATAGAAGGATCTCTATTTTAGCTAAAGGAAAGAGGGCTATTAAGAAATTGGATGCAGGGCCCTTCTAGGTCTGAGAAGCAGGTGTGGTTATCATGAACCTATGCAGGGAGGTTAAGACCATAAGAACAGATCCCCTTGCTCTAGGAAAGATATGGCAAGCTGCCAACCAAATAACATGAGGCCCCTTAACATTTCTTGTTTGTCCAGCACAGTGTATAAAAATGAAATGAAATTGTATCAATGGTTAAAATATGAAAAATGAGATATTGCATATGCAAATCTATATTATCTGCCTCAGCTAAAAAATGGAAAGATCCAGCCCTAGTAGGTACACAAAGTTATTTGTGGAAGTAAAGAATACAGCTGTTTCAAGATAGAAGAAACTATGTGTATTGTTATAAAATACAGTGGGGAGAATATAGTTAACAACAACCTACTATATATTAGGTTGACAGGAAAGTCATGATGTATTTTTCTGTGCAAAAGTACATCAGAACTTTCCCAACTACTCAAAATAATGCTTCAAAGGTTTAAGATGATGAGCATACTAATTACCCTGATTTAAAATCATTGCACATTACATGAATGTACTGAAAAACCATGCTGTAACAACTGTCATGTTAATAAAAATTTGTAAGTGAAAAAAATAAAAAGGGTCAGCAGATGGCATAATGGTTATGTTGCTGGACTCCCATGTAGTCGACTGCAGTTCTAGTCCTGGACCTGGTGCCTTAAAACTCACACCAGGCATGTGTGCATGCATGCTCAAGATCCTGAGAAGAGAATGGAGGAGATTATGGTGTGGCCATCTCCCGGGTGGGTAATTTCTCTCTTTCTGTCTCTCAGGCGAGTATACACTCCCTATAGCAAAAATCTCTCTAAAAAAAAGAAAAAGAAAATTTTAAGTAAAAACAAAAAGAATCCTTTGTTTATATGTAAGCAAGTAAACAAAGGATTGCCATGCAAATAAAGGTTCCATATGTGAAATGTTAAATATGAAAATATTTTACAATTAATACTTTGCTTATTTTAATTTCCTCGCCTGTGTAGATATTTGACTTTTCCATCTCTCTAGTGTAGTAAAAAGAAAAGGGAGTCCTGGGAAATACCAGGTAGAAAGTCCATGAAGGGGACTGTTAAATATGTCCAAAGAATTAAGAGAAAGACCAAAAGTAAGTGATACAACAACACCAAGGAAAGAAGATCAAGTTTCAAGGAGGGCTTGCTAATAGCTTCAAATGCTACAAAGAGGTCAAGTAAGGTAAAGGCTGACAATTGTCCTTTGTGGACAGCATTTCAAGAGACACTGGTGACCTTGGTAAGAGCAGTTCTAGTGGAACAGAGGGTGTGAGGGTCAGATTACATTGGACTGAAGAAGAAAACTTAAAGGTTAAGAAGAGACAGGGAATGTATATAACCAACACAGAAGCTTGGTTGGAAAGGGGTGGAGTATCTCTTTATACCATCTGTCTAAGCTTCTGGCACTAATTTTAACACCTAGAAGGTTTATATTCCCACTTTTATGGCTCAAGTCCAGAACTCATTACTAAGTTTCAGACTATATATCCAACTGTCTGCTTAACATAATGACTTGATTTCTTCAAAGACACCTGAATTTGGCATATCCAAACTCAAACATTTTGTCTCTCCCAAATGTGGTCTTCTTCTTATGCTTCCTGAATCAAAAACACATTACCACCACTTGACTATATGGACCATAAATATAGAAGTCATACTTTTTACTCCCATTCTCCAATTCTTATATCCAATTCATCCATTTTAATTCCTATATCTTTTGAATATGTTTAATTCTACCGACATAAACTGCTACTTACTAGTCCAGTCATCTCTTGCCTGGACCACAGCAATAGCTTACTAATTGACTTCTACCTCTACTCATTTTGTCTCTCTCTAACCTCTATGCTTTCTCCCCACCAAAATACAAATCTCTTGGGCTGGCTCCATGGTCTAGTTATTAAGGGATCCAGATCCCACATGACTGACCATGCTCTTTGAGTTCTGGCTCTGGCAGTTTGAAAAACACACAGGGCACATGTGTGTACATGCCCAAAATCACAACAGGATGGAGAGATAGAAGAGAACTGATTGTGGCATTACCATGCCCCATTAGGGGGTGTTTTCTCCCTCTTTCTCCCTTTCTCTCAGGTGAGTGCACATACAAACCTACTGGCAAATTTAATTAAAAAAATCTCATCATATAACCCTATCCTGATAAAAATCTTTCAAAAGGGCCAGTATGTGGTGGTTAAGGTGGCTGGATCCCAAATGGCTGGCTGGAAGGTTTGAGTCCTGAGCCAAGTTGCTTAAAAACACACTGAGTTCCTGTGCATGCATTCCCCAAATCCCTAAAGGAGTGAAAAAATGGAGAAGGGATTGTGGTGTGGCCATTCCCTATTGGGGGGGAGGGTAAGAAGGCCTTCTCATTTTACCTCCCTTCTTCTCTGTCTCTCTTTAACAAATGCATGTGTCCTCTGGTAATTAAAAAAAAATTAAATAAGGAATTTCATAAAGTCCTTTAACCCATTTAATCCATTCCCAGAGCCAATATCACATATATTCAATATATTCCCATTACTTTAAAGATAAATACAGACCCTGTTTCTTTTCTTTCCTTTTCTTTTTCTTCTTTTTAAAGAGATTTTTGCCTTAGGGCATGTGTGCTCACCAAGAGAGAGAGAGAGAGGGAATGGCCATGCCATAATCCCTTCTCATCCATTCTCCTCCCACGCTGGGCATGTACGCACTTGTACCCAGTATGATTTTTCAAGCCACCAGGTCCGGGACTTGAACTGTGGTCATATATGTGGGAGTCCAGCAACATAATTTCTACATCATCTGCTAGTCACAGAGAGATCAGATTATTTCTTAAAATGTCCTATCTGGCCCTGCATGATCCTTACATACTTCTTTCTCCCTCTCTACATTCAATAATCCACCTATACTGGTTCATGTGCTTTCTTAAAGAGGCTTTCCTTCCTCTTATAATAAGGCCTTTGCATTGGTTGTTACTTCTTGCTTGGAACCACCCCCCACCCTCCACTTGATTTCAATTTATATTTCAAACCTCAGTTTAACCTCAGAATAAGTCAGGTTTTATTAAATGTCTTTATAGCTCATTATATTCTTCTTCAGAGCACTTATTACAGTTAGGTACATTTGTATGATTATTTTTTTTTCTCCCTCTCACTAGACTATAACTCTTTAAGATCATAGATCATACCTACTCACAACTATATGCCTAGAGCCTAGCATCATGCTTGCCACAGAGAAGGTACTCTGGACATTTTTAGTGAATGATTTAGTAGTTTAGAGATGTGCATTGCTGAACCATTTTTATATGTTGAGAAGAAAGAGCTAGTTGAATTAGAGAAGTTAAAGACACAAAAGAGAGAAGGAATGATTTTCAGAGTGATTTCCTGTTAATGTTAAAGATAAAGGGTATTTTTTGTATGGAGACCTACTCTGAGAACACTGACATCTTTGAGAAATCCAATTTGTTTACTGGTGGTGTATATGAAAATCCTATGGATAAGGGTCTCAAAGGCAAACATCTCTTATTGTGGATTCTGCCCGCTTACATTTTCAGTCTTTAACTTTCCATCTTTCAAAAGAGCCATACTATCTATTTTGGGAAGAGCTGGGAATGATGTAATGTGGAAAAGACCTTATAATATATAAATATTTGAACTTTTTTAATACTTTGAAGGAATCTAGAGACACAGAATCGCTTACTCCCATTACTATCATCGTCATGACTCTTCTGAAAGTATTCATGATTGATTTCTCTCTGCCTTTACTAAATTACTTAAGTAACCCCAAGAAGGCCATAGCGTGTAAGAGTAGAGGGTAGGAGAAAAAGATGCTCTGATATCAGTGGACTTACAAGTTAGAAACACTTAGATTAAAATAATACTAGCTGTGACCATGCATAATATCTAGTGAGAGAAAGAGTACACCTCAGTTTCCTCATCTGTAAAATGAGTATAGTACTTCCTTACTGTACACAATTATTGGGGATAAAAACAATGCCACTATCAGTGTAAGCAACTAGCTTTTTGCTAAGCATGGAATAAATTCTCCAATTCTTTCTTCCTTTCTTCCTTTTCAGATTTAAGATAAATATTCCTAAAAAAAAAAAAGAGCATTTATGTTCACATAAAGTTCTAAGCAAATGCTATAACAGAAGGTTCTTCAATAGTAATATCTTGGACCCAATCTATTTTAGAAAAAGGATATGTTCCAGAGATTATCTGTCTTAATGCCTAAAGTGCACAATATTTGAAAAGAAAAATTTTAGCATATAAAGTATGGTGCATAATATGGGACATAAAGAAGTGATTATTTCTTAAGCATATATGTTTTAAACACTGTTCACATAATATAAATTTATGACAGTAAATTGAACAATTTATTCATTATCATTGTGCACCCTAAATTTTGTTGGTAAGTTAACATTTTCATACTGTTGCCACTTGATTTAGCTCCAATATTTTAATACTTATTTTCTTGTTTTTTATTTCTGTCATATTGATTAAGGCATGATATATAACACATCTCAAATGCACATGTGTGTACACATCAAATGTATATTTATGTGCACACGAGTGCACACACGTGTGCACATGTACACATATTTTTGCCCAAATGCAATTGGATGTTTCAAAATGGTTGTTACCCAATGAAGCATGTTAATAATCCTGAACTGTCATGGCTCAAGATTTACCATAAAACTATCATGACATCACTCTATTGTGAACAATAGCAAAACTTCAGTTATTTTAGAGATATGATTTAAAAAATAATTTAAAAAACTTTCAACAACAATTCTATTGTTTTTATGTTTCCCTTGTTTAAATTATCAGATTTAATGAGCATTCTTTGACAAAAATCATCTTAATTTTTTTTTTTTTTTTTTTTTTTTTTTTTTAGCAATCCTATCTAACTCCCTGTAACTGGGACCACATTAACTCCAATCTCTACTCAGACAAATTTCATCAACTCAGAAAAGCAAACTCCTGATTAAAATCAGACATACCTGAGGTAGAATTTTAAGGAGCTGGTGATTGTCTTAATATCCCAATCACTATTATGAAAATCAACATCACCTGGGCATTTGGGATCTATTTGAGAAAAGTAAACAAGATAAAAAGTTAACCTTCCACAGGATCTTACTTTTTACTCCCTCTATAAGAAAATAAAACAAAACAAAACAAAGTGCATTAATTAAAAGACAATTACTTTAGCCAGTTTTCAAGAGCTCAAAATTTATTAAAAAAAAAAAGCAAGTCTGATGTTTGAAAAATTCTCTTGATTTCTGGTATACCATCAAGAAGCTTGGAGGTCATCGCTCCCTGCCTCACAACAAGAAAGAAGTTGAACAAACTGAAAATAAACTCTTCTTAAATCCACCAGAGAACTGAGGTAATGAGGCAAACTGCTTTCCCCATAACTGAAGAGAAAGACAGGCAGATACAAAGAATTAAAATACTGAAAAAGCAGCTCAGGAGTAGAAAATTCCTTGAGAACCAGTATTAGGAGAGGAAAGCCTAATCTGTAATTGATAAGTCAATACAAGTCTCAATATGTGCAAGCCTGAGAAGTAAAAACTCTTAGGGGGACCCCACACTTTCATGAGTTTTACTTCAGGAGCCCAATCAGGTTCTCACAGTGAAGATCTGTGAGATCATGCTTTCATGTTTCCAGCATGGGGAGAAAAAAGTAGCTATTTTAAAATGTTCTCAGAGCCTTCTTTTTCTTCTTAACAAGGTTGCCCTCAAGAAATATTTTACTGCAGAGAAACTGAGGCAGGGCCATTCACTGGCCCTGGACCCAGCTCCATCCGCAGCCCAACTCTCCCAACCTCAGAGCCCTCCCCAACCCCTGGACAGAAAGGTAGGCTGCTTTTTTTTTTCCTTCTTTCTTTTGCTAATTCTTCTCCTTATCCCACAGGGATGCTCCCAGCTCTTCAGCAGAGCCCATGTCCATCTATAGCCTAGCTTGTGTGTTGTACCAGTACGGAGACTTTTTCTTTTTCCTCTTTCATACTCTTTTTTCTTCCCTCTTATATTGTTATCTTCTCCTTATTCTCCACCCATCAAGAGGGACTATTCAGTTCTAGAATTATAGTTTTCAAACACCCTAGTATTGGGAGGCTCCCTGGGATCCTCACTCTATACTGAACTAGCTGCAAAAAAGGAGAAACTGCTCTTCAGATACCTAAATAGAAGACTCCTTGCATGGGGAACACATTGCTAAACACAAGAGAAGAGAGACTACAGCACACATCAATCCACAGCAAAGGGGAAGCAAATTTGTTCCCAGTGACAAAAACATTTTCCAAAAAGGTATTCAAAAGTGAATACATGACCCAATGGCTAGAAGTCACAGAAGAACCTCAAGTTTGATTAAAAAAAAAAAAAAGGCCCCTGCGCAGCCGTGTGCAGGGAACGGCCTGGCCCCCCTCCCGG